ATCAACACTGGTCATTCTTCCAACACATACTTCCAGATCCTATTCTCATTTTTTCAAAGCTTACCAATTTCAATTCCAATTATCAATTGAAATAGAGTAAATTCCAAGTTTTATTAAACATCTAATCAAGCTACAATATCCTGTCAGAGTTTCTTTGATGCTAAAAATTATGTTAATTTATTTATAACAAAGTAAATTGTCGTAGTAGAGTGTTCTCTGTTTACTGTTTTCTTCTATTCAGCAATCTTCTTAATCTTTCACTCGGTAATTTTTTGGATCAATAGAGTAAATTCCAAGTTTTATTAAGCGTCTAATCAAGCTACAATATCCTGTCAGAGTTTCTGTGATGCTAAAAATTATGTTGATTTATTTATAACAAAGTAAATTGTCGTAGTAGAGTGTTCTCTGTTCCTGTTTTCTTCTATTCAGCCCTCTTCTTAATCTTTCACTCGGTATTTTTTTGGATCAGCATCCTCGAGGGGTTCTGAACTTTATAGTATGCTATAGTATCTTATTGTATGCTGTCGATAGTGAGAGAAAAATACTTAAAATATTTAATTAAATCTTAATTAATAAAAATAACATTTAGAAGTTGTTTTATTTTGTATAAATATTTAACTTTATAATACAAAAGCCTTAGTTAAACACATAATATCATATATTTTGGATGCAATTATGTACTTTATTTATTCAAAAAATACATTTTTTTTTTAATTTAATCATAAAACTGCGCCCACATTAAAGAAATAAAGGTTCATATTATATAATGAAACAACATATTGTGAGTATTACCAGAAAATGTACTCGTAATATGAAAAAATACAAAAAATGGAAGAAATGGAAGAAAAACAAACAGAATTGTCCCTCAGGTAACATTGCAGACATCGTATTGAGCTGAGCTGTATCCTGGCATTTGGATTGTTGGAGGAGCATAACGAAATTAATAAAAAACACAAAAACGAGGCAGAACTTTCCAGACTCAATACTCGACTAGCGTATATTTAACTTTTATAAAATATATTTTCCTTTGTTTTATTATGTATGTTTATGTTAAGCAGACTGTAAAAATGTTGTTAGTACATTTGAAGCGAATGCGGCATTTGCTTGTTTCACATGTCAATTCCATTAGTCACAAGCTCCGTGCGGTGCTGGCTGGCTTTCATTATTTAACCATACAAAAATTAGTAACATTTAAACATTTCGTCGGAAATTGTCATACGAGTTTAAATGCTGCTGGTAGAGCAGGGAAAATAATTGTAGCTACATCGGCACCAGAAGCACCAGAAATTGCTGTGTACCTGTATCTTGTATCCTGCCGTTCTGCTTTCCTCCTACATAATGAAGTTCCTATTCTTCCTCACATGCCGCATATATTATTTTACATATATTTATTTTGCTTCTAATGTATTTAAATATGATTTTTTTTTATTTTTATAAATATTTATTCTCTCAAGCACTACTCGTATCATATGCAGTGTCAAGTACAAAGTATAAGTATATACACTGGTATCTGTGTATCTCTTAAGTGCAAATAACATGCTTGTAAAGTAATTATAAATTAAAATATTACGGTATTTGACACTTAAAAATAATTTATGTTTCATGAACCGTGTGATTTAGCTAAGTTTATTAGATCCCTTAAAATTAAAGTTTAAATAGAAGAGTTCATTAAAAAATTTCGGTACATTCGCTTTACTCTTGGTGATTTGAACTCTAAACTATATTATATATCTTCAAGATTCACAAGAGAGTCCTTTACACAAGAGATTTGCTATAAGTTCTGCTATTTCTGCATTGTGAGCACCTTCCGTCCGTAATTTATTAAGAGTATTATTGGTTTAAATAAAAAAGCTATGGATTTTTCAGACGAACCAATTGATTATTGCAATAAGATGATTTTGGAAAATAGTGAAACCTAAAGAAAGGTCTTAAGATATAAAAATGGTTAGCGATATTGAATAAAGAGCAACTTAAAATATAATAAAAAGAAAAATCTCAAATGACAGCACTACAAAAGATCCAACTAATACTATAGGTAAATATTTAGATTTTAGATCACACCTAGCAATTCACTATATGAGACAGAAACAGAGAGAGAGAGAGAGAAATACTAACCTACGAGTTTAGACATAAACTAATTAATAAATGTTTTTTAAATATTTTATATTTATGTCACTTTTTTGATGAAATTAAAATTAAACGTTTGTTTAATATTTTTTAATATGTTCTATATATCGACTCTCCTTGAGAGTCGTCATTAGGATCAGAATCCAAAATTAATAAACATACATTAATATTAATAAAAATTATATCTAAACGTCATGTACTTGTTTCTGTTCCATATATTACCCAATATAGACAACATAATCAAGAACTTTTAATTTTAGTTTTAACAAAAAGGTGACCTGAAGAATATAAAATATATAAAAAACAACATTAAAAAACAGATCGAGAAACTTTAATAACTAATAAATATAAACATCCAGTTAATAGTAGAAACCTAACACATATTCAAAATCATATCTTACGCAATCGTAAGATAAACCGCTTCGATATCGACTTATAATAGACATCAAAATAGAAAGAATTGTTTTAAAAATTTAAATATTACCATCTAGAACAATCTGTACAACGATTGAACATACAAATACTAACGAATGATTAAATAATAAATAGCACCACATTCATTTTAAACATCTTGGAATTGTATAGTACAACTGTTGTAAAATTATATTAAAATCAAATTCGTATTCAAATACAATCTATAACAGCTAAATTTTTTATTTATATATACTTCAAGCAAAAATAAAATTAAAAGTGCTTGTTGTAGCACATTTATGCACAACAATAAAGTATTATTTTTAATGACTACCGGTAAGAAAATTGTTCCGAAGATTTTTAATCTTCTTTTGCTCAAAGGTGGGCTTAGACAACAAAAAATAAAACATATTTTTCCATCTCTTTAAATTCACAACCATGACCAAAGCTATTATAGGGTAAACCTAATCTCATAACATATCTTACTAGTACGCAGTAATCCTTATAACTTAAATGTTGTAGTGCTCAGCAGATTCCACTTTATTGAAGCTATTGAATGCTATATTTCTTGTGCAATTTGGACCAAGTAGATCTTAAAATCCGGCAAAAAATTTCAACTGACCAAGATTTTTAGCTATACTCATATACTTTTGTTAAATGGCTAACTCGGCTGTTGCCAATTTGAGTACTAAAATTTAAGAAATAAATGTTAGAAAACCTGCTGTCAATGTGTACAGATACCCATTTGAGTTAGACACTAACATGCTAGCTAGTTTGTTTAGAGAAGCCCGGCGTTCTCAAACTATATAGCCGCAGCACTTCTATGTTGAATTTCGCTGTGTAGTAAGTTACCATTACTTTTGTCTAAGAGACGGCAATGGTTCGGTAGTCGAAAGAAGATGGTGAAAATGTTCTGCTGTTTATGGAAAAAAATTCTGCTGTTGATTCTTTAATTTATTTTGAAGCTATCAGTTTAAATAATATAATGTGTCTACAAATAAATCCATTAGGCAGACTTTTGTGAATACTCAAAACAAACATTAAATGGTAGCAAATAATAATCAAGCTTTAGATGTGTGTGATTTTGTTACCTACAACATCTAATCAATCGAAGAGTTAACTGGATTATGATAATGCCACTAATCATATACACAACATCATCTAAGCAACCAAATATGTTAATATGCATATGTCTGAGTTGGTGATTCATTACCCTTACTGTATTATATCTGTGAACAGTTTTAAGTCACACTAAGAATAACTGAATACGGGGCATTATAATATGATAGATCTGATGTCTTTGTATCTGCCTGTGTTTATCAGATTTCGCTGTATTTTTAGGTTGTTGAGTGTTGGATTATTTTGATTGTCAATTATATTAAACAGTTTCAGTGCACGATCTTTAATATATTTTTTGAGAGAGTCGACTCTCAGATCTCTGTGGATATCCGCTCCTCTTACGTACCATGGAGCGTTAACCAGTTTTCTTAAGGCGATATTTTGCCCTCTTTGAAAAATTTTTAATGTTGAGTTTGGCGCTTGGCAAAACGTAATAATGATAATGATAATATTACAGATCACACAAATAATAGGTGTACAGTTAGTAATTCTATTTCTACATCTATTCTAGAAATCTTATTTTTAATAAAAAAAATTAAGTTTTGATTGTTGTCATTGGTGTTATCTTCGGCTTTATATTAGTAATATAATTTACGTATTCAATCAAAGATATATTTAGTACTAATTTAATATATTAAATAGTCCATTTTGGGTTGCTTAAGTACTGAAATTCTTTTTCAAATTTAATATGAATTTAATGTTATATTGACATAGATTTCATCTGTGTTCCAAATGAAGTCGCCTTGGTCGAAGTATTTCCACTATTTAAAGCAAATAACTGCCTAAGCTGCCCATACAAAGCAAAAGAATAAACAATAATACATAAATAAAAGTGGTCGAAATAAAATGAAACTCATAACATCCTGCTGAAATGTCCTGTTTTCAGTACGCGTCACACTCTATATTCGCAAGAATTACATCACCGGATGTTATCTATAATAAAACCAAATGTTTAACATTACGTAGAACACCAACAAAAATAAAACACGATACAATTTACAGCATAAATTGTGCAAATACCGACTCGTATCACTTAAATCTAAAGTGGTGGTGAAACGTGTCGCTCCGAACTGCCACAACTGCCTTGACCTACTTTTTTAAAGGAAGCAAGAATTTTCCAATTTATTGGATTTGTATCATACGGGCGGGTACTATATGCAAACCAACATGCCACCGTAAGGATAACTCAAAAAATTATTTTAATTTTGTACATTTATTTTTTTAATGTCTATAAAATTGAGTTTAATGAGTTCCCAAAAGTAAAAATAAAAATGTCTGAAATTAAAATTATAACGAAATGTGTTCGTGTATATAAAGGAGTTTTTATTAATATAACAATATACTTTAAATAAATATCTCATTTTTATTCTCCAATGTTGAACAATTAATACTTTAAAGATAATTACATTTACTTACAATTAACAATTATACAATCACTCTTCATAACCAATAATTCATATTAAATGCGCGTTGTGCATGAGGAAATCACTGTGCTGCACAATGTGCTCATTAAAGTCATTCCCAGCGGTGAAAAGAGCAATAAAATAGTTGATGCTGATAAAGTTGCGCCACCACCGGTTAAAAGTTCACTCCTTTCCATGCACAGCACATTTTTCAAACCATTCAACTCCACTGCAAATGTTGTATTTGTATCTGGAGTAACTGGTGTATCTGCCGTGTTAGTAGTCGGTGACTCTGTGTTTTGAAAGGAGTTCATAAGCTTACGCAGACGTTGTGATGGTGACATTGTTGCTTCATTATTTTCCCTATAGTATATACTGGTTATGTATGCTACGTATGGCACATATTCCAATGGACGATCGATTAATTTGAAACCATAGACGAACATTTGCACGAATAACGAAGTCGATTTGTGATCTATTATAAGTGCTTTGATTGAGTTGGGAGTGTAATGACTGTATTCAGCGACTACAGTATCTTCTACTGCATCCGACTCGGTAATTATGTGCTATAATTGAAGAAGTAAACTGAAATAAATATAGTCCGAAATATAGTTGGTTATCACAACTCACTTCATAAACAACAAATTTTATGTAAGTAATGAAATCGCTATCAATGTAATAGAAGACAACTGAATGCATTGTTGGTATCATTGTGGTATTCTTTGAGGTTTGAAAAGTGTCATAAAGCAAATAATCACCTAAAAAGTATTTAATAAAATTTAATTAAATTTTATTCAAATAATTGTTTTTAACACAACCACAATTATACACAACTATACACATACCTTGTTGACGTTTACCAAGTTCTAGCACTTTATCCGTACTATTAAAGTCAGTTGGAAATTCAGCTTCATCTTCATTATGCGCATTAACACCCTCAAAATGTTCGGCCAGTGCATCATCATTACCTTCATCATCATCATCATCATCGTCATTTTCATTCCATTCAAGTCCTTTTTTAGCTAAGCTACGCTCATTAACTTTAGCTGCGTGGTTGGCATTCACATAATCATTTTCACCATCGATATCAATGTCATCATCTTCATATTGAGTATCTTCTTCAATATTTGGCTCAAGCACACCATCAAATTCTTGGTTTTTATTTAGTATATAAGCTGGATTTACATTTAACATCGTTTCATTAAAACCGTATATCGTAATTAGTACTTCAAACTGCCGCGGTATGTGTGCTGTGGCTTTCGTGGCATTGACTGCCGTCACGGTACCATTGACGAGGTCATTATGATAACTGAAGTTTACTTCAGCCAGGACATTCTAAACGAAATTAAAGTATAAGCACATAAACTCAATTTCACTTATCGAATTATCATAATAAAGCCAGAAATTAAATTTGCTCTTAATTTACATGTTACTTACAATGTAACTCGCTTACTTACATACCTACTTACATTCGTACTTGTTTGCACTTGAAAGTGTGCATAAGATATTCTCAAATTATTTGAAGCATTAAAATTTAATTACAATTCATTAAACAAATTAATTCGTTTCATACTTGAAGATTCTGCAAAATATTTAAATAATGAAATTTGAAATTTCAATTTAGTTTTGGAATGTCGACACATTTCGGAGTTGGGGACATGAGATTAATTTGGTAAAATAAGATACAATTTGATATTCAGAAAGTCGTTTATGTAAACAATAATAATAAACAATTTAATTGTTGTAAATATGAACAATCACTGCACTTTGTTGTATTTATAAACTGATTTAGAAACTGATTAAAAAGCACATAAAAAAAAAATTATAAGCTCCTGTTATACGACACTGTGTTTTTGTACAACAAAACATTCTTCTGTCACATATTCCTATTGTGCAACGGCTTCATTTTATATAACAGAGGCAGTTCTGTATTAAAACAAAACCTTCTTCTGTCACATATTCCTGTTGTGCAACGGATCCATTTTATATAACAGAGGCAATTTTGTATCAAAACTTTGTTGTACAGAAAGGTTTAAATAACAGAGTTGTGTTGTGCAGCAGAGCCACCTTGTGCAATAGGCTCTTATTGTACGACAGACCCATCTAATGCAATACATCCAGAGTCAAGTTGTACAACAAAGCTGTGTGGTAGAATAGAACAATGTAATAAAACAGAGAAGTCAAGATCCATCCGTCAACAATATAAAATTTTTATTAAATTATGTATGATACACATAAACCTATTAGACACAAACTGTCCGTCTAACTACTCTACTTACTTCACAATTTACGCTACTTTTAGTTATATTCGAAATAATAGCGGTATTCATTTAAGCATATAAACTTAACAAATGTATAATTTTATGCGTTTACATACACGGTTATATGAACGCATTTAATGAAATATTTTTGTAAATTGATCAAACTGCTGTATAATAGCACTATTTATATCAGCAATAATTATGACAGCACAAAATGCAATAAATTTATTCGTTAAAATTTTCGTGTAAATTTAACAAGATTTGTATGAAGCTAAATTTTATACAAAATTTGACACTTTATCAAAAAGATTAATCTATACGTGTATACAGTTTATAAGGAATTTATCAGTTTAGATGAGCACCCCTTTTATATTTTGTATTTAATTATAATAAATAAATAAATGAGTTATTTTTAATATATCCAGTTTTTTTACTCTGTTATCTGTTAATATGGTTTCTTTTTATTTTCTTCGTTGGCTGTATATTAACTGCGAGGTTTTTTCATAACCCCTCTCTACACCTTGTCTAGATTATTGTTTATCACTTCATCAGACTAAGCAATAATTAGCCTCAGATCTAATTACCTTCCTAAGTAACCTGTACCCATTCTGAGATTCGATAATACGTTGTTGGTAAGCCTGTTAGTTTTAATAAATAATTTCAGGGTTTTATAATAAAAAAATAAATTGTTTTAAAGCTTCGACGTCACTTAAATTTTTGTTGTATATTAAAAACATAGCTAAACACTATCAATAAATTCAATGACATATAAGTACGAATGGATTTGTTTCAACAACCCGTAAATTCGTCAGATATTGTTTCTTCCGACTTATGCTTCTTCTTACATTATTTCATATGAAACTAATATTTTTTAAAATACTGTTTTTAGTTTTGTTCAATATCTTTTTGAACAAAAAATATTTGTTTTCTTTTAATATCTTTCCAACATATCAGGGCTTAGAGACCTACTCTAAACCCAGAAGGGGGACACAATGGACCCGAAAGGAAGCAGTGCCATATCCCCTAACAATAATAATAATAATATCTTTTCAATATTTTTATAAATTTTTAAGCAAACTAATTTTTTTTTATTAAACCCAAATGCCAAAATTTTTCCAAAGGTCGCTGTGTCTCAAATGGGTAATTTATGTTTTTCGTAGTAAAATTTTTTTTAATTTTTCTTTAAATTATGATCGAATATGAATATTCAAAACACAAGATAAATTTTTGGTTATTAATACTTTTTGCATGTTCAGTTTTCATATATAATATATTTTTTATTTTAAAAACACTGCTCTTAAGCTGATCTAAAATTAAGAAGTCAAAACAAAAATTACAAAAAACAACAAACGAATTTAAAAACACTTTTCCGCAGAAAATATTGTCGTTGAAAATTCGGACAGATAAAAATAAACAGCGGTGTTGACCATTAATCTATGTATTAGCCAAAAACCGTACATACTCCTATAACATATGCACGAGTACAATTAATATTGTTAACAAATAGTTAATGGATTATTTTGAAATGAATATTTGATTAATATGAAACAGACAAGATACTCTTATCTCTGGCAACGGATTACACAACTAGAGGCACTTATAGTTTTTAATCGAATTTTTAAACAACTCAAACTCACTTCATCCGATTGTATCTGAATATAAGTGATAGGTTCAACTATAGCGTAGCAGAAGCTAATTTCTGGATGTTCATCAATCGGCGCCGGGCGTGAATTCAAAATATCTTTGACCAATATCTGATCACCAATTATTCGCATGCCAATACCGAAAACCGATTTGCTTTCCGCTTTCGTTAGTAAAAGTGCTAAAATTATTAGACATGCTAAGATACTTTTCGGTGACGACATTTTCGTTCGTTTATTTTTATACAATATCACTTTTTATATTTTAAATATTTTTATATTTTGCGGTTTACATTTAATTCGTACAACAAATCGTGTACGATCTGGGATGTTAAAATTAACTTTTAAGATCGTGCATTCGCGCTGGCGTTTGGGAGATGACTGAACTATTTTTATTTAAAAATTGGAAAGAGATCTTTCTTGAAAAATGTTTGAGTAAAGAACATTGTTTTCAATACTTTTTGAGAATTTCTTATAAAGACACACATTTAAAATTGCATCTGCAGAGTAATTAAATTCTTGAAAATCAATTTTCAGCTTTCATGCTCTTAAAATTTTATTAACATTTTATATAAAATTTTTTATTTAATATTATATTGATTTGGACTTATTTTATTATTTTCACTTATTAAAAGAAAAAATACTTGAGCTTATTAATATATATAAAATAAATTTATGCTGTCAAGATGTTATCATTTCATTACCATGCCATCGAGTATTTTGTCTTGATAAGTTAATGACTAAAAAATATTGCAATATAAAATCTTAAATCTTCTTAAATCAATGTTTTTAAATGAAATCCTTGAAATGTTATATAACAAAATTTTGGAAATTTTTTAAATAAAATTATAAAATAATCATTATGAATTGAATATCCTAAGACTGTTTTTTGCTAAACATTAATTCATTGTTTATAATAAAACTGAACTCATTTATTTTAAAACATTTTTAATATATATTTTTTTCGAAGTTTAAATATCATTAAATTTTAAAAAAATGCAGAACAGAAATTTAAAAAATAATTAAAATAAGATTAATCATATGCTTCTCAATGTTTCACTATTAAATGAGTAAATTCATTTGATTATTTAGATTTGGTTATAAAAATTCATTATAGAATTATAGAATAATTTTTTGGCTATAGTTAGATATATATAACTTCTTCTTAAATTTTATTCCATTGAACTAATGAGATATATATATATATATATATATTATTGTTTAACAGTACTTTCCTCTTTTGAAAATTTGCTTTATTGAGCTAATGAAATGTTTATATTATAGTTTATTTCATTCCGTACTTTAGTATAGAATTGTTTGCGGGTGAAGTAATTAACTTACAACGCTAATCGTTTAAAAATAACAAAAAATTTGAAAACAAATTTCATAAATAATCTAGAAAGTAACTTCTATTGGGAAACGCTACTAAGACTATCACAATCTAAAATGCTTTTAGGGACTTAGAACCTAAAACGCTTCAAAGATTGCATATCACAAATAAAAAATAACTTAAGACTCATCACGGGATTATTGACCGGTCATTATAGATTGAATATTCACCTAACGAAATCAGGAATTCAATCCAACTCAGACTGCAGAAACTATAGAGAAGAGAGTGAAACTGCATACCATGTGCTTGGGGAGTGCCCGGCACTAATGCACAAGCGGAAGAAACACCCTGGGGGGTATTGTATGGATCATAAGGATTTAAGAAAAATAAGCTCTATACTGTCTTTCATTAAAGAAATCGTACTTGGAGAAACAATCCAATCCGACAAAGGGGTATAGAATTCTTTATAGCCAAGAATTTGTTAAGAAAACTGTTTTGGGAGAAGTGTTAACTGTTTTTCACTTAACTAAATTTATTATAATGATAGTTAGGGTTTGTACCAAAAGGGGATTTCATAAAAAATATGTTTATACAAGTTCTTTTACAATTCACTAAATTAATTATAATTATAATTAGGTGATAACAATTAGTTGATACAAAATAATTGTTGTTGCAGTCAGTTAGCAGTAATTTTAATTATATAAATATATTTATGTATATAAATCTATATATGTAAAAAGTAATATTCTTCGGTGTTTGATCAAAGTTAAAGTAATTTTCCTAAAATTTTCTTTTTCATAATTGTGCTTGTTGTTAAAGTCCTGTAATACTTCTCTTCTAAATACCGTATATTTGAATTGTATGGTTTTTATTATCTTTAGATTATATTTTCAAAGTGGTGGTATCTATGTCCTTTACTCTATGTCCCCGAATACGTCACAGATGCTATAATCTGATGCCATAAGTCTTTAGAATTGCATATTAATTACAATAAACATCAAATGAATTTTAACTGATCACATTACACTCATTATTGAGAGTTTCTTGGAATATATAAGATTGCTGGAATTGATATTCAAAGTTCTAACTCATTAAACTGTGCTATACTAACCTATTTTTTTCTACTACTATTTTTTAATAAAAATAATAATATTTATGAAATGAAAATTTATATATTGTATGCATTAAGTATTATGCCAAATCTAGCTTTATTTCTGATATATAAATACTATATACAATATTTATATATATTTATATGATATCCAAAGTTCTTACTGTTTAAACTGTGTGATACTAACCTTGTTTTTATTTTTTCACTATTATTTTATAATAAAAAAAAACAAAATAATTAATAATTTTAGTAATTTATATATTGTATGCATTAAGTATTATGCCAAATCTAGCTTTATTTCTGATATATAAATACTATATACAATATTTATATATATTTAACATAAAGCCAAAAAAAATGTTCCATGACTTTGACATGTATAAATCGATTTTATATTAAAAAGATTAGTTGTGCAATATTGACGTCAATTTCCGGTATTATAAACAATACGAAATTAGTTATTACATGACTGAAGGAACTAAAAATAAAAATTCATTCATAAATTTTGTGCTAAATTTAGCAAATTCATCTAAAATTTAGCACAAATTCTAATAAGTTTAGTTGCAGAAGCTCAACAAAATAGGTTCAAAGATCTTAACAAAGTTAAAAATAGTAGAACATGCATTTAAATAGTATCTAAGTATCTGTATTAAGTATAACAAAAGTTATAAATGAACTAAAAACAGATTTTCTCAGTCCTTGACCTCAAGCAAATAATAGACAATGAAGTCAATTTTTGTCGGCACAGTCAAATGCCAAAAATTTACTAAACACAAAAAAACAAAACTAATATTATTGAAATCGAAAATAAACTAAAATAAAAAATTAAATAAAAAATCGAGAATAAAAATAAAATCAAATAAATGACACACAGCAGGTCTGCCACATTCTGTGGCACGAGTAGTCCGTTGCCGGATTGTTGAAAGCGCTCTGCAGTCCCTAGACGAAATCTATTAGGCTATGTTCGTTCCGAATAGTAGAAAGTGCGTATTTTTGGATAAAAAAATATAGGAGAACTAAAAAAAACTTAACCGAAAATTTAAAAATTGCAAAATTCGCAAGTGTTTTTATAATACAAAAATGCTTCTCTATTGTTGTTGTTATTGTAGTAGTTGTTGTTGCTTTTGCATTACACTGCAAAAAATTACTCATACGACTCGTTGTCATACTCACTTCATTTCGGGTTTGGGCATTTGTTGAAATTCGGTTACTTTATTGGCTACAAGCCAACTAATTAGGAATTCAAATATTTAAATTTTTAAAGTAATAAATTTATTATTGGCCACTAGTACATAAAAAACAAAAAATATTATTTTGAAATGAATAAAAAAAGAACTAAATACACAGTTTGGAAATGTCAGACACGATTTTGTGGTTTAGAATTGAATTTTTTTTCTTTAAATTTATTTAAAATTCTCTTTTAAATATACAAAATATAAAAGTAGAGAATGAATATTATTGTTTACATTCGTCCATGTATACTGGATTTATAGTTTAAACAAAATAATGCACCTAAAGCATTATTCAGATATTTTGCAATATCTGAAATGAAAATATCTTTCATTTCATTATCAAGATCATTTTAAATAATTTCTGGAATTTTATTGACAGACCACAATAAAATATGCGAATTGCCCATTAAAAGTTATTTTCATATTTCTTCAAGATTAAATGGAATTTTGTTATAATGTTCTGAAAGTAGTTCTATAGTGGATTTTATAATTAAATTCAAAAAAAACTACCTATACACAATTAAAGCAACAAATATATATAAATAATTGAGTTCCATTTCAATAATATTTGTAAATTGTTTATATTTAAATATATTTTGAATTATACATCGCATACTTCGTCCAATTAAAGAAGAAGGGGGCACCTATCGGCTAAGATTTAATGACGAATGTCAAAAAGAGCTAGGAGAACCAGCAATAAGCAAGAAAGTAAAACTCAAGCAATTACAATGGGCTGGACATATTCAAAGAATGAGCATAGATAAACCAACAAAAAAATATTTCAATTTGCAACAGAAGGAAGAAGGAAAAGAGTCCGTTCGAGTTTACGCTGGATAGACAATGTGGATCAAACAACTCAACAGCTTGGAAACTGGAGAATGATAGCAACAGAGATACGTGGAGACATTTTCAAAGGAAGGCTAAAGATTCAAATAGGATCGTTGCGCCACTAGTGATGATGATGATGATATTTTGAATTTACTATTCGTAAATGACGTAATGGAGTATGAGATCATATATAGTTTCACTGAAATAACGTATGATAAAACATATTGTAAGGTCCTCATTAAATGAACTAGTGATAGTAATTGATATTAACTAAAGATCATTTAAAGTTCTATATGACTTTTATTTCCTCTAAACATGGTTTCTAGCCCAGCTCATGTTCGGCGGCGACTTAACATTTTAAAAGCCCCCTTTCTTGAGGATCTTGATCAATTACAACCCCTGACACTAAATAGCATTTTAGACTTCGCCAAAGATTCTAAGTGGTTTTAAACCCCAAGTTTTTCCTATATATTCGGTAACTTAGACCAATAGTGGATCTACTACGGATCGCCAGAATAACCTAACGTAGGCATGGTTTCTATCTGTCCAGTGATAGATTTACTTAAATCATAATATTGTTTGCATTACGAGTTAATTAGTTAGTTAGTTAGTCTCATGCTTGTCCTGCTGCGTGATGCAGAAGCTTAGATAATTACCAACAGTGATGAGAGGAGCATTCGACAAAAAAGTTCTTCAGAAAATCTTCGCCTAGTATACAACAATCATCGGATTGTATAGAATGATGTGAGCTATACCTATACTATATATAATATAAGCATGTAAAAGCATGCCGACAGTTTGGTCATGTCATATGAATGGTTGGAAGCGTTCCATCAACAAAGATATTTAATTCAGCTATTAAAAAG